AATAGAAAAAAAAATAAAATAAAATAAAAAAAAATTAAAAGAAAGAAATTAAAGACAATAAAAAAATTACAGAACAATCCCCAAATTTAGCGCAGTGCCGCGGGGAGCCGTAAGAACGGCCCGGGCTCCTCCAGAGGGCAATGGCGAGCCGGGGCCGGGCAGCCCCGACGGGCCGTGTCCCGGTGCTCCCCGACGGGCTCCGTCCTGCCCGCCGTGTCCCGGCTCCCCCGGCGCTGTCCCCATCGGTGCAGCGGGGTCCCCGCTGTCCCCCGGCCGCTCTCCAGAACTGGTCGGGCCGGAGGGGTGAAGTCCCAGCTCTGCGTGATTTGCAAACATGAGCCTGAGTAACTTACGATGACTAAATTAAACCCTAAAATAATAATAAAATGCCGGGCTTTAGTCTGCCGAACCGGTTTTACCGGTTTTGTGTTATGAATGTTAATTATTAATAACTTTGGCACTAAAAAGCAGAGCGTTGTTTTGTTTTTTTGGGGATTTTTTTTTTTATTTTTTTTATTTTTTTTATTTTTTTGCTCAAAGTCCGTGTCTTGGCAGAGGATGTACCAGGATCCTCAGGTACAAAAAGCGTGGGGTGATGAAGGCTGGTGAAATATAGGACGATGACCAAAAAGGGGAGGGAGGAACCTTCCCCATTTGGAGGGGCAGGGCTGGGGGTCTGCACAGCCTCCTCGGAGCACGTCCCAGCTGTGACTCCCATCCAGGTCCCGTGCTCTAAGATTCTCTGAAAAACACTCTGAGCATCCAAACTGAATGCAAACTGTTTCAGGACAAAACCTCCCTTCTAGCTTAGTCTCAGGAGAAAGCCCCTGATGTGGAGGTGTGCAGCTCCCTGAACATTTTTTCCCCATCAGTTATTTTTCTTTTGTTTGCTCTCACTGTAGATTTGTTAATTTACAGATCTCCCGAGCAATGCGGCATTTTCCTGGTCCAAATTTCAAATTCAGGATCATTTGAGGGCAACATCAAAATTAAAATCACATCCATTATTAGAAATAGGAGAACAAGAATGCTTCAGAAGCAGATAAGTGATCTGATATCTTTGAAATAAATGCCAGAACTTCACGGGTTCCAGGAAAAGAATTTGAATATTGCAGACTGAAATAAAACAGGTTTGCTTTCACAATCTTTCATTAAAATAGATTTGATTGCCATGTTTCTGGATAATTCAGGCAGATACGTGTGAGGTATGTGTAAATTTCATGTTAAAAAGATGTGGCCCACTTTCATCATGATTTTCAGTTGTGTAAATGTTGGCATTTAAAAAAATGGATGTTTGAAGGCACTGGTAAGTCAAATGACACCTGCATTTGAACATCCCACATAAAAGATGATCACATTTTTTTTTTTCAATAATGAAGCAAACTACTGATTTCCTCCCTTAAATGATAAGGACTGAGATTTAATGGTCCCGAGTGTGGAAATTAAAAGCATTAAGTTTACAGCTGTTCACAACTAATGCTTTCCCAGCCTACATAACAACCTAAATGCTCTTTTCTTAGCACAGATTTATTTTAACACGCCTTCTGTCTCCAGCCGACCATTTCTCCCAAGTCTCAGTTTGCTCCGAATTTCCCAATTTTCTCTAAAACTTTCCTTCCACTAACTCAGAACACAGCATGTTTCTGTGCTGTTCAAAGCCGACTTTGGGGATTGCCTAACTCAGATAGAGAATTGCACAGAATTTGTGTCCCTCTTGCCTTGGGATGTACAATGACATTTTTCCAGATGATGCTGTGCTGGGACAGAAAGGAGTCTGCTGCAGCCCTCGCTGTGCCAGACAGCTGTGGCCTCTCTGTGTTTCCCTCCCTCCCCAGGTGAAAGGAGGAGGTTTCTTCCACATTTACCACATCTCACTGTGGGAGTGGGGTTGCCCTAGACTTGCTGCTGGTGCTGCTCACCCATTTTGGCAGAAGAATTATTACCTGATGCAGACAACTCGTATCGGTGGCCAAAGTGTGGAGCAGAGTAAAAATGACCCAGTGAAAGGCCTTAGTGTCCAGCCTGAGTCAGTGCTAAACTGGTCACCTGTGTGTATAAACCACAAAAGGCAGAAAGAAGCTAAGGAAGAACACAGGTTTCTGGAGCAGAGACAGTCCTCAGGAAATGGCATCACACATTGAAAAACATTAAGAACATCAACAAGAAGAAAAAACAGTTGAGCGGATTGTGCCTGAAACAAAGACCAATCTGTTTATCTTGATATGTTTATTTTAAAGCTTAAGTTTGGAACTTGATTTTCAACAAACTGCTTCTCAGGAACCTCAGTGTGCAGCTTATCCCCTTTGATTTGGTTGTCTGTAGGAGCAGCTGATGGCAGGAATGCAGACTTTGGGAAAGATTGAGTCACGGTGTCATTAGGGTCAGACAATGAGATGCTTCCCTGACGTTTTTGGGATTGCAGTGAGGTGTCCCTGCAGCAGGCTGCAGCAGCCTGGCTGCAGGGCCAGGAGCTGCCAGGGCCCCTGCTCCAGTCCTGGCACAACATAATGAAAGGAGAACTGGGAACAAACCCATGATGCTGGGTTACATCCAATAAAATCCCTGTTGCTGATTCATCAAAAGCTGCAATTCCATAATCCTTGGTGCTGTGCTGCATTTTACCCTGGCAATGTTGCCAGAGACCAGGTGAAATTCGAGGAGATGCAGCACCTGGAGGGTTTCTCTTGTCCCCATCCCACCCAAATCAGCTGCACTGCAGCCAGGAGAGAGGAAAGGTGTGAGAGCTGACACATACACCTGCTGTGCAAGGTGTGCTCTGGAGAGGGGCATGCAGAGACGAGGATTCATCCTTCTCCCACAGGATCTCTGCTCACTGAAGAGGATGAGACAGTCCAGAGCCATGGCCATCAAATTGTCTCCAAGGGACATGTGTCCTTGGGGATCTGATTTTTGCCATGGATTGTATATTCCTCACCAAGTGCAACTGAGCTCAAGCTTTATTTATCTGTTCCTGCACGGGTTGCTTTGTTTTTGTTAAACAGAAATGAACCCCTGCTCAGCTGGCAGTTATACTTGTAGATGATTAGTACAGTGCAAAGGGCACAGCTCTGAAGATTGTGAGCAGTTCCAGGCAGGTTTCAAGCAGCAGCAAGTGCATACGTACACAGATGGCACATGCACACTTAGGGTCATAAATGTTCATGCTGAGAATGTCAGCAGTGCCCGTGGCCAGACTTGTTCTCACCTGCCTTTTGAAAGCCCAGCCATATCTTGTTGATAGCTATTTTACTTTTCTAGGAGGTGTTTAAAAGACACGTGGATGTGGGACATGGTTTAGTGGTGGGCTTGGCAGTGATGAGCTGAGAGGTCAGGTTGTGATTCCCACTGAATTTCCCCCAGGGTGATAACTCCTGTCTGAGATTCCAGAGGTGCTGATTCCCCCATCCAGCACCATCCACACAACCTCACCTGGCAGAGGCAACCACTGCCCTCACACAATTTAGCACCACCCAGGATCACTTGCATGCAGCAATTTTCTGCTTTCAAACAATCCAAGGGCTGTTGAATTCCTCTGAGAGGCAGAAATACCTTGAGTCTTTCATGGAAAGCAAAGAGCTTTTCTCTCTTTTCTTTTCTTTTCTTTTCTTTTCTTTTCTTTTCTTTTCTTTTCTTTTCTTTTCTTTTCTTTTCTTTTCTTTTCTTTTCTTTTCTTTTCTTTCTCTTCTCTTCTCTTCTCTTCTCTTCTCTTCTCTTCTCTTCTCTTCTCTTCTCTTCTCTTCTCTTCTCTTCTCTTCTCTTCCCTCTTTTCTCTTTTTTTTTCTTTTTTTTTCTTCTTTTTCTCAATCATAGTCATCCTTGCTTTGAAAGGTTAGCCCCATCTGTCATTGTTTCTAATGGGTTTGCCCCATCTTTGAATTTAGATGTTCCCCAAACTCTAACAATGACTTAAGTGAGTGGCTCCCACAGTGGAACTGGTGCAAACAACAGCTCCACAATAAGCATCCGTTTCAAAGTCCTGCATGTAATGTGGGGGCACTTGCACACAGCGAGGAGGATGAATTCTTGTTTATTTGTTTGTGATTTTTGGTTTGTTTTTGTTTTTGGGTTTTTTTTGTTTTGTTTTGTTTTATGCATGAGGCAGATGCATTTTTGCAGACCCAATGGAGGAGTCACAGAAAACAGAGAAAACATGAGAAATTAAAAGATAATAAAGATAATAAAAATAGCTAAGCAGATCATCCCCACTGATGGGTGATAGGTTTGGTATATGCTAGAAAAATGCAGGGAAATGTATCTGTGAGAAGACCAAGTTGCTTTGTGGAGCAGCTTCTTCTGAAAAAGAAGACAGGAACTTGGATTAATATTAATTCACCTTTCTGCATCCTTCTTTGGGACAAGATTCTCTCATTATTATCTCTGTGGCATATTTAAGGCATTGCTGTCCAGTAGCCTCTGGAACTTCTAATTAATCTGTGTCTCTTGATGAGTCACTCTTGGATGATCCCCTCAATAGCTGTGGAAAAACTATGCAGAAGAGATCTTCCCCATCCTCCCTGTCCCAGGCCCTTCTTTCTCAGTGTTCCTCACCTTTTAAATAGTAATCTTTAACTAATTATCCATTTCTGTTGATAAAAATGAAGCACTTTTGTTGGAGAATGGCTTTCTTCTTGAGGCCATAGCTCCTTGGAAGGCCTGCACTACCCTGACTTTGAGCTAGCATAAGTCTTTGGCAAAATATTGTATCAAAGAAATGAAGAAGACTAATTGTTAATAAGACAATGAAGAATAAGAATTTAGGATGAGAAATCTGCT